GGTTTTTCTTTAAGAAGAGAGCCCCTTCCCAGGGATTTAGCTCAGTGGTTCCACCACCTGCCTTGCAAGCATGAGGACCTGAGTACAATCCCTGGTACTGAAAAAAAAAACCAGAGGAGAGAGCCCCAAAGGTCGGGGATTTAGCTCAGTGTTTTGCTGCCTGCCTTGCAAGCACAAGTTTCTGAATTTGATTCCCTCGATTCCTGGTACAAAAAAAAAAAAGCGAGAGAGAGAGAGAGAGAGAGAGAGAGAGAGAGAGAGAGAGGGAGAGAGAGAGAGAGAGGATGCTCATTTACAGGTACCTAGGTGTTTCCCAGAGTTCAGCCACAAAAGCACTCAGAGGACCCTGCATCCCTGGTCTAAGGGGGCCAAGCTACTTCTCAAGCTGGCAGCAGACCTTGGTGTTGTCCACATTGGGCTGGTTTTTCAATTATGCAGAATGAAAGTCATGGGGTCACAAAGAATTCTACCCAAATTTCAAAGGAAAGCCTGGGATGTCAGGCAATGTGCCCCTGTGCCCCAGCTATGAGAATGAAGCCAAAGGTATAGTGAATACCACAGGTTGTTGGCGATAACAGGAAAATGGTACATCTACTAAGAAAGCTGCAAGCAGACAGTAGAGCCAGCCTAAGAGGGACAGTGTGGGCTGCCTTCAACAAGGCCATAGGGGTGGAGCTACTCAAACCCTTTGGAGCTCATTTCTCACCAAAACCTGCCCTGGGTGCTAGAAATGGAACTTTAGGACTGAATGTTCATCTTGCTGGTTTTTAGTCTTGCTTTCATTCAATTCCTCTCTATCCCTGTTCTTCTCTTTGGGAATGGGAATATTTACCCCATGCCAGTACATGCTGGAAGTATTTAACTTTCTTTTTTATTTTTAAAGGGTCTCACAGCTAAGACTTTGGACTTGATCTTTTCAGCAATGATGGAACTGTTGAGACTTTAGCAATCCTTAGAGATGGGCTAAATTCTTTTTGTATAACACGATGGACATGAACTTTTTGGGAGCCAGAGGCAGAATATTATAGTTTAGGTCTAAATGTCCACTGAAAGTCTTATGTATTCAGTGGTGGGAATTTTTAATTGGGTCATGGAGGCAGATTAATCCACTGATGAATTCATAGTTGAATGTGTGATTAGGAGGTGGGGCCTAGTCA